TGACATAGGACCCACCCAGTTCTGATTAATAAAGCATTTTACAGCAAAAAAAGTTAATGTTTAACAGTAAAATAAGTTCTGATGGAAGTATACTACTAGAATTTATAAGCACTTGAGAAAGTCTTAATTTCTACAGAGAAAAATGCATTAATTCTATAGCATCTTATTCTTAGGTCTTACTTTGCTTTCTATTGCTGTGATAAAACACTATGACCAACTAGGGGAAAAAAGAGTTTATATTTAGCTTACAGTTATGATCCACCATGAAGGGAAGGCAGGGCAGGAACTCCAGGTAGGAATCTGAAGGCGTGAAGCAGAGGCCATGAAGGAACATTGCTCCCTGGCTTGCTCTCCATGACATGCTCAACTTGCTGTTTCATACACCTCAGGACTGCCTGCTTAGCGGTGGTCCCACCCGCAGTGTCTTGTCCCTCAGTCATTAGTCATTAATCCATAAAATACCCCACAGTCCTCTCTCTCCTCCAAGCCAATCTGATGGAGGCAATTTCTCAGTTAAGATTCTCTCTTCCTAGATAAACGTACATGTGTAAAGGTGACAAAAACTAACCATACACACCCTGCTAGAGATGGCAAAATTGTATATTTGCTTTAAGCCTAAATGAAAATATGCAAGACACTGGAAACTTCAAATCAAACCAGGATGCAGGGAAAGGCTATGGGGTACTACAATTAGGTTTTATGCATACAATTTTCTAAATCGTAAATGACTCCCCAGATATCAGGATAGAGAAGTGATTTTAGCACTCGCTGATTAGGAAACTCTGATCCTGCTACCTTTCAAAAAGAGAAAGCACACAATGGAAGGAAGGGCCTATGAGCTTGCTGCTCTCATGGACCTTTCCTTTGCAAACCAACAACTGTGTTTCCAATAGGAGACATCTCTTGAAATAGGCTGTTTCAGAGCAGATCAATTACAGATAACCTCTCTTGCTCTGTGGATTAACAACTCCGACCGTCCGATCATATCTTTAACCACATAGCTCAGCTAAATAAGAACTACTGGGGCGTCTATATTAAATTTCTGTATGAGCTCACAGCCTTTCCTGGGAAAAGCTGACTTCTGGTTTAAGGCAGCCGTGACGACAGTTTTCCTATAGAAACACAAGGCGTACTTGTTTTTCATTGATATAAATTCTGGTGCAAGAAACACAGCTCAGAAATATGCCAGCAACAGACACAGAGTAGAATCCTTAAGCCTGCTGGCCAATGTTGTGTCATTTTTTTAAAGTCTCAATCTATGGAAGACAAGCACATTCAATAACTCCTTTGAGAATCTGCTGAAGAAGCAGGAGGTAGCTAGCAATGTGCGGGTGTTGCTGGGTAGACAACAATGATTTCTCTATCATCCAGTTGATGAAGTTTTAATGGAGAAAGTATAATTCCTGTTGAGAATAGTAACTCTTTTTTTAAAAAGATTTATTTAATTTTAGTTATGTGTGTGCATGTATGTCTCTGTGTGGGTATGTACCTGCAGAGGTCAGAAGAGAGGGTGTTAGATTCACTAAAAATTGAATTAAATTGAATTAAATTCACTCATGTGGGAGTTGAGAATCAAACTCAGGTCCTCCAAAAGAGCATGGTTTTAGTGGTTTAGCCATCTCTCTAGCCCTAAGAGTGATACCTTTTAAAGGCTTGTAGCAATATGTGAAAAATCTAGGAAAAATGTATAGGCTTAGCAATATGTAAATACACTGAAATCATTACCTTTATAGTTCTGGATTCCAAGGTAGAAAGGGTAAAATGCTAGACTGTCATATAGAAAGAAAAGGTAAAAACTTTTAGTTATAATTATTTGATATCATTGTTTTAAAACTCTGTCCTTTTGAATGTTTATGATATCTACAATGTAAAAAAATATACTCAAAGCATTTTAATATTGTCTTAGTCACTGTCCTATTGATATGAAGAGACACCATAACCAAGGCAACCCTTATAAGACCAAACATTTAAATAAGGGCTGGCTTAAAGTTTCAGAGGTTCAGTCCATTATCACTGTGGCAGGAATCACGGCAGCAGACGTGGCACTGAGGCTGTAGCTGAGGGCTATAACCTGATCCACAGGCCAACAGAGCAACAGTGGGCCTGGCATGGGCTTTTGGAATTCCAAAACCAACCCTCATTGACACACTTTTTCCAACAAGGATACACATCCTATTCTTTATAAACTTTCTCAAACAGCGCCACTCCCTGATGACTAAGCACTCAAATATACAGCCCTATGTGGGTCATTCCTACTCAAACCACACAAACATATAGACTATATTGCTTGACAGGCAAAGGGGTGACAGATACCTTAATCCTGGAATTTCAGAGGTGGAAGAAGGATCCAATGATGCTATCTTTTAAAGCTAACCTGTGTTACATGATATCCCATCTCAGGAACCAAGTCAAATAAACAAAAGAGAATATTTAGAATTACAGGTTTGTGATTAGAACATAATCACTGGGCTCCAGGTATTTAAAACATATGACTGTTCCTTTAAGGATTGAGTTCACATCTCCAAAAAGACAAATAAGTGCACACACACAATAATATTCAAGGCAGTGACTCCCACAGGCACACAGATGGTACTTCAATTATACCATCTTTAGGCCCAAGGCTATTGAAGGTTCAGAGGTAGCATCAGGTTCTCAGGCTCCTGTGGGAAGTGTGTTTTCTACCCCAAGATGTCAAACCCTAGGAAGCTAGGTTTGTTTTTGTTTTATATTAGAAAATTAACTGAGAAATAGGACTTTTCAACAATAACCAGGGAAGCAGACATAATATATTTCCATCTTCACAGTGCAGATGCATGACACACATTTACCTGAAAAACCACTGGAAAGTAAGGATAAAGTGCCGTTGTATGATCTAGAAGGTCATCATCCAAACACTTTATTCAAGACGGCTTTGAAGCGTGCATCCCAAGAGCAGGCTACATGAGAGCAGGGGGAAGAGAGGAGAGAAGGGATGCTCCCACACCTCTATGATAACAAGCCTGGATCCCATTAAATGGAAGGGAAACAAGGAATCTTTGAGCTTAAGAGAGCAGAGAAAGGGTAGCACTGAAATGCTAAATGCTTCCATCTGCGTTATGAGAACAAGATTAGTGATAAACACTCAAAGAGCTGTTTATTTTATAAAAGATATCATATGGCTTTAGCATTTCTAAGGTAACAGAACGTGCTAAATTTAAATATTGTCTACCATGTCCTTTGGAAAAAAGGAAAAGAAAATAGAAGTTAGGAGAAAATAAATACTTGACCTTAGAACTAAAAAGAAAAAAAAAGGTGGTTGGGAGAGAATGAAAAGAAATAGAAGTAAACACAAACAAAAAATCATTTTTAAGAAGAGGCACAGGTAGGTTAGAAGAACTCTTAGAAGACAGAAAGATTAGAAAAAATCAGAAAAGAGAACCCTCCATTCCTTCTACCCAATGAGGCTACTTTGTTGTTGTTAATTTTTTGTTAGCTTTAAAAATCTTAATTGAGATATAATTCGGAAATTCATGAAAGATACAATTCATCCACTTCCAGGATAAAACCCAGTAGAATTTGGTGTATTCACAGGTACATGCCCAGGTCACATGGTCACTTTTAGGATATTATTCATCTCCTCACAATGATAGCTTACACTGTTTGTCATCATCTCTTAGCCTTCCATGTCCGCACATACCCCACCAGACCTACTGTGTATACAGTATAGATTTACTTATTCTAGACTTCCATAGAAATACAGTATTTAATGTGGAGTCTTTCAAAGCTGGCACATTTCACTCTTTCATTCAGGTTCATTTATGTTGCAGCTTTTCATTAATATGTCATTACTGTTTTAATGGGTGAATAATAGTTCATGGTGAGGACAAACCATGTTTTGTTTATGCTTTCATCCATCGATGGAAATAAAGGTTGCTCTCATATTTGGGCTATTAAAAATAGTGTTTCTGTACAAAACCAACAGTAATGGTTAATTTTGCATCAACTCAAGCTACCATACACATACATTTAAAGACATGATTTAGGATGTTGCTGTGAAATGACTTTTACATTTAATTACCTTTCAGTCATCAGATATGAAGACAATCAGATTATCTGCTCTGATGAGGAGGAGGCCTCAACCAATCAGCTGAATTCTTTTACTTAATTGAAATCAAGTTCTCCTAACAACCCAGGCAGCTGTGTCAGTAGTCAGTCACCATAGTACACCAACTACAGCTCTCCCCTGGTCCCCAGCCTGCCACCTAACTGAGCAGATCCTGGACATAGCAAGCCTCAAGTGTCAACTAATCCCAGTAAGACTCATTCAATATGTGGGTGTCCTGTTGAGTCTTTGAAGAACCCAGGCTCCTATACCAAGTGATGCTAGGAACACAGGAGGCTATATGAACACTAACTCCAGCTTTAATGTGAGGACATGTATTGAAGAATGTCAAATTCATCTCAGAAGGCACTTCAAATCAAGGAGGAAAGATATCTGCCCAGAGAATGTATGAACAGTCAACCTTTGTGGAAGTTTGTATCCGGGAATTCAAAGTACTTGGATGACTGGAATGGAACCCTCAACTTTTTTTTTTTTTTATGACTACAGGCCAGCAGGATTTCCAAAGTATTGTCTGACAATGACAGGGATCATTTTGGAATAACAAACTTCGACAGTTTTCAAAGAAAATTATAAAAGTGCAAGAAATTCAAGCACTTCTGTGACTTGAGTACTTTGATTGCTTCCATAATTGTAATTCATGTGCTAAAATCTTAATTGCCGATACAACAGACTTGGGAGGGTAGAGCCGAAGGCGAGGCATTTAGGTCATGAGGGCAGAGCAGTTCATGGTAGGACTAAAAACTACAAAAAGGGCTTGCAGGCTGTACTCCCTCCTGCCATCTAAGGATACAGTACAGTCAGTTTTGCTCTTCCACCATCTGTCCTGTGAAGGCACAAGAAGGCTCCAGAACTTCTGTTGCTTCAGAACTGAGAAGTATTCTTCAGTTCTTTGTAAATCACCCGGTCTCAGAATTTTGTTACAGCAGCATCTAAGAAAGACAGGCACAAAGCAAAAAGGCACAAATTCAAAATACAGAACAAAAGCTGAGGTATGCATTCAGACACGAAACGGGGCACCATAAAAAGCAAGAAAAAGTAACAGAACTCAAACAAAAGAAAAAATAGTTATGAGACACAGAAACAAACATAGCAGTTATAGTTTCTAAAATGAGATAAATATGTTACTAAAGAACAATACAGCTATAGGAGAACTAGATACACTTAAAGATAAACTTCCAAGAATGAGGAATATAATATAAATTTAAAATATAAAACAGGAGAAATCCTAAGTTTAAATAGTTAACAGGAAAAAGTCTCATCACTATTCTGGGGGTGACAATAATACAAAGAAATGGAAGATTCTTGTGTCCCTTTAATTTAGAATGTGGATTGTGTGCATGTGAACACATGTGTCTGTGTGCATGTGAGTGTGTGTGTGTGTGTGTGAGAGAGAGTGAGTGTGTGTGTGTGTGTGTTGTGTGTGTGTGTATGAATGGGTATGCATAAATTTTTCTCTACTTTGAAGTGTTTCTCAGATATTTTCTTTTTGAGTGTTTGAAGAAGAGCCTATGACTCAGATTAGGCTGGGCTAGCTCACTATGACTCAGATTAGGCTGGGCTAGCTCACTAGTGAGTCCTAGGGATCTTTCCATCTCTACCTCCAAAGCACGAAGATTCCAAGTGGGCCATTACGCACAGCTTCATATAAACAAACAAACAAATATGCACAGAAGTAAAATAAACAAATGGATTCTAGGGATCAAACGCAGGCCCTCATATTTCCAAGACAAGCATTCTATGAATTAAGACATCTCCTCAGCCCCCTATTTGTAACTTTAAAAATATTTATTTGTGTTTATCACAGAGAGAGGGAGAGAGAGAGAGAGAGAGAGAGAGAGAGAGAGACAGAGACAGAGACAGAGACAGAGAGAGAGACCTTAACTTCATGTGTGTGCGGTACTACGGAGGCCAGAAGACATTGTCAGATTCCCTGGAACTGGAGTTACATACAGTAGCAAGTTACTAAGTGGGTGCTGGGAACCAAACTCTGGTTCTCTGCAAGAACAAGTATTCCCTTCTGTGCTGTCTGGCCAGCTCCCTCATTTGTAACTATTGTTGCATGACTCACCTTGCCATGTGTGAAAGTCACACGAACACACAAATTTCTCAAAACGAAACACACAGAACCTTCTAATTCAGTGCATTTTTACTGTGTGTACATGATACCTAAGCAAAATAATACTAGATAATACGTTTTAATGGTAATTTTGAAACCTGTTTTTAGAAAGAGATGTTTATTTCTCAAAAAGTAAATGATTGTACACATTTATCAGCATTGAATAAAAGCAGTGCCTACTCACAGAACCCAACATTTTAATGAGATTTTAATTATACGCAAAATTTACTCATTCTGTTTATCCCATCTTTATTTTAAAATTATGTTAGCAATTTTTGCTTGAAAATGTTTTAAGGCATGTAGATGGCATAAGATACATGCTTTGAAAATTTAATTTCATGAATTTCTAAAGCCTGTGTTTCCTTTAAGCAATGTGTGCTTAAATGGATTTCTTTCTATCATGATGGATGGCATACTTCCAGAAGGTGTAAGGTCTTAGATTCATAAGACAAGCTAGTTTATGGCAAAATAAATAAATGAGTAAAGTCGAATTCTCAAATTTGGAAACCTCTACCCCATTAATCCTTTTATTCCACAGCCTAAATGTTTTATTAGCATGGGAAAACCATGGCCTGAAGCAGTAGTGGCAGGGAGTGGGCTCCATCATTACCCTGGGAAACGTCCCCTGACAAGAGTCCTCATGCCTTTCGAAGCAGAAGCGTGTCCTGCATCTGCATGAGCTCATTGTGGGGTTATGCAATTAATAGCCCATGATCACCAGAGGTCCCTGAACAACCGGAGTCACTGGCTTTACTAGACTAATTGGAAATTAGCAATACTCTATATTTTTGGACCAAGGAAGTATGAGAGACAGGAGTGAAGAAGGGGAGGTCTGTTTGTTACCAACATGCTGTACACAGCAGGGCAACACAGACCTAGGAAAAGGTGAAGGCAAGTGGGCTTGACTCCAGATGGAGGAGCCTGTAAGAGGATTCGCCTAGTCACAGCAGAGAAGTTAACAAGAGAAATGCTTTAGTGTAGAGCAGTGTTTGCTTTGAGTGTGACACTGAAAACAAAAGTAAACACTTTAAAAGGAAGTGTCAGGTGAACGTCATTCACATGGTGCATAGGAAAAGACAAGACGGAAACCATAAAAAAAAACCCTGTTTCAAATACATTAGAAACCCTTAGCCCCCAATGTTTTACCCATCGACCATTCCTATTGTAAAACTTAATGGTATCAAAATAGAAGCCATAATAAACTGAAGAGACCAGATTTTTAAACCATGGGTCACCCATTATCACCCCCATGGCATCCTGTAACCCTGGATGTGGGAATGGGAATATGAAACTTGACAATAGTAAGTGATTTTTAAGCATGTGGTAACTAAAAGTTAATTAAGAGTCAAGTGCATCACAAATCTTAGACGTGTCTCTGAGCACTCACCCATGCTGCACCGTGTGACTTCCTGTTCATGTGGGGCCACATATGGGAACCCCCAGCATGCACACTCTGTTCCCCAGGTCCCATTACAACACACAGCATCAACAATTGCTTCCTGAAACATCTACACTCACACGGGAAGCTACTATGTGCGATCAGCTGCTGTGTTTTTCTGTACACACTGTTCTCTGCTTTTATAGGGACATGACCGTTTAATTATCAAAAACAAAGATTATTTTTCTAACCTCAGTCCTCACCATGCATCAAATCAACATACGTTTAGCTATACATATTGCCTTAAAATAGTTTATTTAAAATATTGCTGCCTGAGTTGTTGACTTTGATAACAGTAAACTTGATAAATTCTACTTGGAATTAAGATATAAAGTTCTCCAGTTTCTGAAATGGCCCTCAATATATTTCTCCCATACTATACTATGTATGTATGTATGTATGTATGTATGTATGTATGTGTGTATGTATGTATGTATGAGTGCAGTTCCTAGCATTGAAGACTATAGAATCAATCTATCAGTGGACTCTGAAAAGCACTGAGAATGTTCTACGTCATGCAGTATCAAAAGGTCCATGATAATTGATCCTTTCTATAAAAATAAAAGACCATATTGCTGTCATTAGTATATGTCTTAGGTAGGATTTCATTGCTGTGAAGAGACACCATGACCAAGGCAACTCTTACAAGGGCAAACATTTAATTGGGGCTGGCTTACAGTTTCAGAGATTCCATCCATTATCATCATGGTGGGAAGCCTGGCAGCATGCAGGCAGACTTGTTGCTGGAGAAGGAGCTAAGAATTCTACATCTTGATCCAAAGAATGCCTGGAGGAGACTCTCCTCTGCCCTGGGCAGAGCTTAAGCATAGGACCTCAAACCTCACACCAACAGTGATGCACTTCCTCCAACAAGGCCACACCTACTACATAGGCCACACCTCCTAATAGTGCTACTTCCCATGAGCCAAGCATATTCAAACTATCACAGTATGAAAACTTGCCTCCATCTTTAATAAATGATTATATTACACATAGACCAAATGGCTAAAACTAAAATTATAATTTGTTAGCCCTAAATGCTTACTTTGTATACCCATTTTATATACTTATATGTGGAGAAATACAAAATATTTGGCAAAGACAGGGTGAAAGAAACTGCATACTAGATTCTGTTAGCTCAGAGGGTAGGGAATTTTCCAGCTGGCCTTCGAGGGATGGTTGGTGTCAAGCATCAGACGGCACCATTGATGTCTGTGTGTAGCTGTTACTGTCTTTGAGCTTCTCTGCAACTCTGTGGGGATGGAAGTCACTTTAGATGCCTCTGAAGTTGGTTTTGGATGATGGTCACTCCAGAAGTTCTGTTCATAGAGATGCAACTAAGTTTTGTTCCTTAGGAGTATGATTGATATTGTTCCATATGAAAGAAATGAGTCAAAATGCTACATCGTCTTGTCCTTTCACTATTGGCCAGTTTTTCTCCCATCATTCCTCAACTCCTATGCTTAAGTTTGCTTTGTCGATCTTCTTTGCACTTAATATTTAATCAGCTACCTCACTAGTAAGTGAATTAAATAAAATCCTTGGTGTGTTCTCATTTGGGAGTTTTACCTTTTAAAATATTTTAACAATAGGAATAAACTTTTAGTTCTTCATAAAAGTTTGAGCTATTTCTCTGATATTCAATTTTTCACAGCTTTAATAACATTTATATTTAGCCTTACTGTATCTATAAGTTTAAAATGAAAAGATAACATGTTTTGTGTCACAGAGCTCCATAAAGTATAAGATGGCCATAGATTTATTTTGTTATTGTTCAAACTATAATATTTTGAAGATGCAAAAGGTCATTGTTAACGGCAACATTGGTCCCATTTAGTTAGAACTGGGAGAGTCCTAGACAGACCAGTATTGCCTTGGGTAAAGTGAGATTCATGAGAGCCTTCATAGAAGTTACTTTCAATCCCTTCTTCATTATGCCAGCAAGCCATGAGAATGTTTTTAAGAATTACTTATTTTCATTCCATTTCAATGAGTGTTTGTTTATATTCATAAATGTGTACCACGTGCATGCCTGACACCCTTGGAATCCAGAAGAGGGTATCTGATCCCTTTGAACTAGAGTTACAGAAAGGTAAGGTGCCATATAGGCGACGGGAAACTTCAGTCCTGTGCAAAACAGCAAGTGTTCTTAAACACTGAGCCAACCCTCCAGCCCTGAGAAATTCTTTTTAAATTTTGTATCATTTTGTAAAATATATTGGAAAGTACTGTTGTATTACAAGCACACTTCGATTTATTTGTTCTTCTGTTAGTGGTTGTTTAGGTTGTCCTTGGGCTTCTGCGTCTGTGGTTACAAATGACCCTGCCAGGAGAGCTTTGATACGTTCATTCTTTTATGCACATTTAAGATATTTATCTGAGACACTACTGGATGGCATAGATGTACAAATGTGTTCTACTTTTCAAGAAATAACCAACTTCTTTCTCAAAGTAATTATACTCATTTGTACCCAAACCTTAGATACTCGTTTGTAACCACATGTTTCTTTCCACAACTGGTCCTGCTTCTCTCCACCTCTGGTCCTGCTTCTCTCCATCACTGGTCCTGCTTCTCTCCATCACTGGTCCTGCTTCTCTCCATCACTGGTCCTGCTTCTCTCCATCACTGGTCCTGCTTCTCT